CATCCACCGTGAGGTTTTCTGCAAGGGCAGGATCCGCTCCCGTGACCGTTCCCTGGCGGGAAAGGAGAGAGACAGTGAGGGTCCCCGCTCAGGGGCGGTGGTTCGTCATGGAGGGGGAAGAAGCACCAATTTGACATCCCTGCATTCCCATCTACAGCAGAGGAACAAGAGGGAACAGGGAGAACCAAAGCCCGACAAACCGACTCCCTTAGGCAAACCGAAGGTCGTAAGTACGTAAGACAAGAATTTCAGGCACAGCCCAGAAACCACAGGATTGCGATTGCGAGAAACGTAAAGCCAAAGTGGTCATTATCATCTCAGCAATTCTTAACTGAGGGCTGAACACAATCCTCCAAAATACTCACCGTGATTCCCCTCCCCCTAGCTGCAATTTCTAGGAATAGCGTAAGGTCCCATGGGACCTGGAGCACCTCCAGACCTCACTAAAACTCCTCAGGTACACAGATACCAACTTGATGCTCTCCTGAACCTTTGGGATGCGCTCCCTATCAAGGAAAAATGCCACAATCTTCATTTTACCCTTTGTCCAAACAGGTGATGTTGCACGTACCTCTTCTGGGATGAGGAGAAGACATGGGAGGGGTGAGATGGTACAAGGCCTGGGTGTCCACAGGCCAGACAAGTTACACAGACAAACTCCAGAGCCTTCATTAGAACAATGCAGACTTGTTAATTAGAACAATGCACTTCTCTGACACCTCTGTTCAGGTACTAACAGATAATGCCTTCCTTGTGTCCTTCAAGTAATTTTAAAGTCACAGTTTTCTAGTAATGTTTTATAATTAAAGAAATACTGGCAATTAGCTTTAAGCATTAATCTGAAAATACTGTGGCAAGAAAAGAATCCAGTGTCTTGTGTTTCCAGAAAACTATTAAATCCAGAGTTTAAATGTTTTCTGTTTGAAGTATATGTAAATCTACTGTAAATCTATAAGGATGCACGGAATACCCAGCTGAAGGTAGCAATGGTTTAATGTTTTATTGAACAGGTGGTGCTCTATGTGCTGTTTTTAGTGAATCAATAAAAAAAAGATTGTACCTCATGTGTCTTTATTTATTTATTCACTCTATAATCAAATTGCACAGTAGCAATTTCATTCAGTCCCTTAGTCAGGAAACTGATTTCATAATTAAGTTTTCTGCAATAAACTATTTTACACCAAAGTAAGTACATACACAAAGTATAAGGTGGAAGTGGATTGAGGATGTTAATATATGCTCAATGGAGCGCCATATAAAGATAGTCCTAAAGGAGCCTGCTCAGGAATTGTAAGCGATGTACGTTAGTCTACCCGGCACTTATACGTGTCCGTTGGTTTTGGTACAAATACCTTCATGTGGCATTGCAGCACACTGTGCAAACGTATTCCATGAGAAAAATGTATTTGCTGACAGCAAACATGGCTGTAACAAATGGGTAAGTGAAAATCCCCCTGGCTATTAAAAGCTTAATTCTTCAAACATGACCATCCTCAAACATCCATCTTTCAGAAACCTGACTGCATTTTCCCACATCCCAGTCTTCAGAAAGAAACGTGCTTAGCAAGTATCAGTGTATATTGAGCTTCACTCGAAATGGCTTTGCCAAATTTGCCCTCAAGTATGTCAAACCTGTTGATCCCAGACCAGTAACGACACACAAACATGGAGCTGTCAGTTACTTAAGAAGTTTTGGCACAGTTATAGTAGGAACTGTAATTTCTTTAAAAATTGGCACATAGTTTGGATTCGGTTGGCTTGGACCTTGATCCAAAGTCTCAATGATAGTCTGCTTCATATCTCTGCTGGCATCGCCCCTCACTGTCAGCAAAGCTGCAATATGGTCATCCCTGCCAAAGGAAAATCGTAGAACTGGCATTAGCAGGAAACTTCGCACAAGTAAGATCTCATCAGAAACATCACTGAGCTGGCAATCCTTTCACTCAGCTTCAGCATGTACGTCAGTTCTTCACCAGAGCTCTAGTCACTCACAGCTGCCTTTTCCAGCTCAATAAAAGCACTATTTTTGGTTGCTCTGAGGACTCTCACACTTATTTCATCCTCTCAAGACATGAAATGGCAGTGTTTTCATTATTCCTGTGCTGTACACTGAGTGCTTAAGCACATGTACCTACTAGTCCAGGTCACGTACACTTTATATAGCATTTTTTTCATAAGAAAGGGGCTACAGTCTAAAATATGAAAAATATGAACACATTTACAGATTGTTTTAAAATTTGCCAAAGACTACAAAGAAACTGTGATGCTATCCATCTATCCTTTAACTTTCAAGACAAAGAGAATTACCTGATATCTGGGTATTTACTGACTAAAGTTGAAACTTCCAGATAGAGCAGTGAAGGATCAGTTAGCTTGATAACCTCTGCAATGGCTTCAATGATGTCACAGAGTCCTTCAGTGTCCTCTCCAGAGCCCTGCAAGATGAAAAGTAAAAAAAAAAACTAAATAAAAAAAATCCCCAAAACAAAAGCAATACCCTCAATAACTGCAAACAATTCTTCAGTTAGTATTTTGTCCAACAATGAAGTTAAATTCCTCAAAGAGCTGAATTTTCAGACATTAAGAAAACAAATATTTGTAATTGTCACCATAAACCTCTTCCTTTTTTCCCTATACTTCTTCATCCAGAGACCTACCCTCAGAATACCAGTAAATAAAGTAATGTCTTACAAACAGCATGTGGTATTTATCCACATGGTGATACACTCTAGTCTTTAACTTTTGCTAATTTGCCAGCACAAACATGAGGAATAACTGATGTGAAAGCCAGATCTCTTCTGAAACATCACTTAAAAATTGGCCCTGCATTCGCTTCCTTCTAGTCACCAGGCCACCAAGGCAGCTTTCAACAACTGATCAACTGAACTTTAGTATCTCTAATCTCAGGATTGTTTAGTGCTCTTAATTTCAGGTCATCTGGTCCTGCCAATCTGGTATTGTTCGTTTCATTCATTCCATAACCACTTCTGTCAATGCCTCAATCTGAAACAGATCTTACACAGAATCCCACCTAATGCCGGACTCTGACGCAGGAGTTGCCCCAACATCTTCCACAGTGAGCAGAGATCCACACTGCCCCTGCCCCACCCCCTCGTTTTTTCAGGCTTTATCTTTCTCTGCATTCTTTTTGCATTTTGTCATCTGTTGGCCCTCGGACCTTTCCAGCAGAATCCTCCTCCTTATGCCGTTCATGGAAGATTTAGCATTCGTTTTAGGCCGATCACCTTGTACCTTGTTTCTCAAATATTGTGTTTGACCTGTCTTTCTATTTCTACTGCACTTTAAATGAGGTCAGCATACGTGCCTTGTTGATTCTAAATGAACGCGCTGCGTATTACCTAGGTCATAAGTAACTGCAGCTGTTCGATGCAGTATCACCCTTTCTTCCAGCCAGAAAAGGCAAAGCAAAATTATTTTTTTTTTTTTTAAACAAACAACTGCTTTTTTCTTTCACTTACTACTATGAATTCAGTGTACTTATCTCTGTGAGGTCATTCCAATATCCAGCTGCAGAGAGCTGTATAAACACCAGTGCTCAGGCACTTCAGCAGCAGGCCTGTGGGTGTTCAGAAACTCTGTCTGTGCCCTCAGCGGGCACTCTGGATATTCACAAGTCACCCAACGTTTTGGAGACATGGAGATGTAACTCTAGCCAACTTCCCCAAGCAGTAAACACACGTGTTTTATTTTAAATTACCAGGTTAACAGCATTACCCAAAGCTAATACCTACAGCTGCAAGCTTCTTAAAGAGAAATCTGAACTGCTCTGCTTCTTTGATCATTCTTTCTGCACCCTCTTTTCTCTCTTCTGCATTCTTGAAAGATATACGTTTTAACATGATTGCTCTGATGTACTCCACAACCACTCTCCGATGGGCTTCAACAGTCATTGTCTGAAAGAAAAGAAAAAAGCAGTGGATTGTGCCAGCAATACCTGCAAACGTAGACATTGTTTTCAGCCTTTGAACAATTATCAGGCTTTGAAATGCACTTCATTGCATTTAATCACCAGTACACAGTTTTTGGAAATACTACACTTTTTGAGTGGCTTTAGATTTTCACAATGCTAACAGAAATGAAAATCTGTCCTTCCTTAATGAAAGGGACGTGCAAATTATGAGAAACAACAAACCCAAAATACCTTTAATGACACGTCTACATTATTTTCAAGGAACACAAGCATATCCAAAGATAGAAGAACAAACATGAAATAATTTGGATGACCTTTAGAACAGACCTGTGTTTGACCTTACAGACTTGCTTCTTTCTATCTGGTCAAGGAATGACCAGCCATCACTGAGGCTTTTGCTGAAGAACTCCAGTACATTGCATAAGGCACTGCAAATCTTGCCTACATTATCTATGTTCTGGGTCAAGTCTGGTAAGAAGCCTGGAAAGCCATCAGCAATCACCTTCTCACATCTTCCTTGACTGCTTTGCTGTTCTCCACTTGTCTTTTTATAGGAAAGAGCTACTGGTGACTTAAATGAGCATCTGGTATTGGTGCAAGAGTAATGCCAAGGTTTGCAAATAAAAAAACCCAAAAACCAAAAAAACAAACCAAAAGTCTTTCACAAAAAAAACCTTGACATGTTTTTTCAACTCCAATGTAAGGAGAATACTTAAATCCCACAAGGCCTCAGGTGGGTTTTTTCTCCCCCTAAGCATGGTGGTGAAGTTACTTATGATTAAGAAAAAGTCTGTGTAACAGGTAGTCATACATTTGTAAAATATGATTAAAAGTTTGTAACCAAGTTTTAGTTTCAATCAATGTGTGCTTCAAGCCTCAGTCAAAATTTCAGGGAAAGGTTTCAGGAAAGAGAGAAAAGAAAAAAAGAAAAAAAAAAAGGAGAGAAATCAACAGATTTCAAAGTATTGGAAATCACAGTCCTCATCCAGGACACAGAAAATACGATTTCAAGTCCTGCTCTCAAGACTGAAGTCATACTGCAGATGGGCAACTCACTCCAGTTTCCTGGTTGTTCAGAATTGACACCCGTTACACGGAGGAGCATTAACTCCACAGAATAGACTGTGGGAGTCTGACGCATATGCCCCATCATCGCACTGAAAAGTAAGCAAAGAACAGCTCTGCTACACCAGAGAAACAAAAACGTGTTCCATCCAGTGCTACAACGTACAGTGTCATATGTGGGAGATTTTTTCGTGCTGGGAGACAGTGGAATAGCAGGTATGATGAATACTAGAAAGTGTGTTTGTCATCTTCTTCCCCATTAGGTGGCAATAAAGGCTACATAATGGAACATGTATGATTGCAGAGGTTGATATTAACACTTGAAGAAACTCATGCCAAGCACTACTACCTCACAGTAACAAACCAAATCTGGAAAAGAAAGCTGTTCCATGGATATAGACTAATTCTGGGAGCAACATCACTTCTTTTGTGTACTTTTTCTGGCCTGAAAATGCATATTATTCACTTACATAATAAGACCTTTAGGATCTGCAAACACTGAAGGTTAAGCGGTCATCTGAGGAACTTTGAGCAGTCCCCTCTATGAGAGTTAAGGTAAGAAGCAGCAAGCATATGATTTTTGAGACTGTGTTTTTTAAGCACTTCTGCTTAGTAAGGGTTTGTTCAAAACCCCCACCTAAATCCTGATCTCGCTAGCTTCAAGTATCTCCTAATGGGGAAGACATGCCATCTTAACTACACAAAACTGACTTTAATTCAATAACGGATAAAAACAAGCACGATAATGCTGAAGATTATAGGGTAACAGAGAAATCCAGATATCTTCTGACAGACAGCGAGAAAGAAAAAAAAAAGAAAGATGACCTCAACTAGCATATTACACTGCTGTAACTGCACTTTAAACAGGAGTTATGTATTTGTTAAACCTTATGGCACCAATTTAACTATACCTCATTGTACATATTAAAACTAGGAACTACAGAATGTGCACTTATTAAAAAAAGTAATTACAGGCCAGCAAAACCAGTTTCAGAAGAGCTAAAGGTAGAAAAGTACAAGCTGGTAAGAATACAATCTAGTAACATCCCAACACATTTTCTGGACTAAATCCTACAACTGTGATCTGTCTTTGACAATGTTACATGGCTGTGAACAAAAAAGATGAGAGAGAAATATTAGATTCAGACTTTCGCAATATGATTATGAACATTTCTTTATTTCCAGTGATGAATCAATTCCAATTTCTATATTCCAATTCTGAATTCCATTTAGTGTTCAGAAATTCCAAACCAACACGATATTTAGAGTACATTAACAAAGTATCGTAGAATATTTTGCACCTACCTTTTTATAAGGCTTTTTTATTTTTGCAAAGTCATTGAAATAATCCTCTACAGTGACGCAGATAGTCCCCACTGCATTAGACCCCATCAACCACTTCTTTGTCATCAGCTCATTGAGATGTGGCTGAGAAGGTAACAGACAATCGGAATCATTTTTTTTACACTTCCATCATATCAGTGCAGTTACAAAAAACAGGAGACAACTTTAAGTGTCATACCTTTCTAAACTACACTCCTTCAAAAGGAATAAGCAGCTAGTGTAGGAAAATGACGTGCTCAGTTGTCAGAATGACAGCTGCCACAGATCGCTACCCTGAATACACACTGGGTGTGTATGTAAACCAGCTGCACTAACCTGAACGTTTGTTTCATACGAGTTCTCTGAAATTCTTCATCACGCTCTCTATTTAAATGTCTGTGCTAAATAAAACAATTAAGGTCTGTCACATCCCACCTGGGAAAAGGAGGGCGTGACTCAGATTGGCAAATCCCCTCGGTGTGGACAAAGGCAAGATAACACTCAAGGTCCAAAACAAACATCAACTTTGATGGGGAACTTCTATACAACAAACACTTGGAACACGGGGGTCCTCTCGGAGTTATATTGTCCCTCTCACAATTACATCCACCCAAGCCATGCGGCTTTACAGAAAATCAAGGTAACCCTTATGCTACTTAACAACTTCAGGTGAAAATGGAGTGTGCACAGAAAGAGAGAGAAAGGAAAGAAATTTGCCTGCCTCCATCCCCATATTCCCAATTTCTTTTTCTCTTTAAAGAACTTTTTTTTTTCTTGAGGGATTCAATACAAGAAACTAGAATTGTTGAACATAGAAATTTCTCAGTCAGAAAAGGTCCACCTTTAGAGTCAAGTAACTATCTTAATTACAGGTGTACTGCACCTGTACAAAGACGATAAATTAAAATCAGAACAAGTTTCCCAAATAATTCTTAAAACACGTTTACATAAAACTAAGTACAATTGGCCAGAAAATATTCACTACATACAAAGCACCTGCCTGAAGTCATCCCGTGAAATATAATTCAGCAACCTTTCAGTCTCCTACATGCAAACTATACCAATGAAGAATAATACTGATGTTTACTGGCATTTTGCTAGCACACCACATATAAAACATGTTTAGCAATCAAAGAGTTTCATAACTACTTCATTCCTGAATTGTTTTTCCTTATAAAATAATACTTTTGAGTTTTTTGAGGGGAAAAATAGTATCTAACCTCTAAATCCATGAAGACTTCATCTAGCAGGCTAGAGCATCCTTCTTTGGCAATGATGTCTAAAGTTGCATCCATGCTTGTGTGACTGATTGACAACGTGTCTTCCATTTCATTTCTCAAGTATTTTCTTTTCAGACTGATTATAGATTCTCTGTGAAAAATAACAATGCTTTTCATCATCCACTGATGTGCAATTGCATTGCTACTAAATTTTCGGAGTGCATCACAGAAAGTGCACTAGACAGTCTTATTTTTGCAAGGGGAGATAATGTCTGCTGCTTGCTTTGGAAGCCTTAATTTACTCTCTAGCATGATTTCAGAGTGATCAACCTAGACTACTTGCATGTTGGTAACAAAGTGCTGCTGATTTGTAGACTTGAGAATGGCAGCAGATATAGATGAACATGGAGTTGCATTGCTGAACACTGACACATGACCAATGAGGATTTCTTTCTTCTGTTTTGATATTCTTAATGGAAGCAAGCTCTATACTTACTTTTCTCCAGTTCAGTTCACCTTGATCACAATGCTTGAAGGTGAACTGTGAGAGATCAAATGTAAGAGAAGATGGCACGCCCCAGATAAACTAACTGAAATGACTTTTTTAAATTCTGAAAGTTGAAGATAAATTTTCCTTTGGCAATGAAATTCCTAGAATAACAAGTGGATTTTCAGATCAGGTTCGAGACCATCTAAAGAACCTGAAGGTGGACAAGTCCATGGGACCAGATGAGGTGCATCTGCGGGTCCTGAGGGAACTGGCAGATGAAGTTGTTAAGCCACTATCCATCATATTTCAGAAGTCGTGGCAATCTGGTGAAGTTCCCAATGACTGGAAAAAGGGAAACATAGCCCCCATCTTTAAAAAGGGGAAAAAAGAAGACCCAGGGAACTACAGGCCAGTCAGTTTCACCTCTGTGCCCAGCAAGATCATGGAGCAGATCCTCCTGGCAACTATGCTAAGGCACACAGAAAACAGTGAGGTGATTGGTGACAGCCAACATGGCTTCACTAAGGGCAAATCCTGCCTGACTAATTTGGTGGCCTTCTATGATGAGGATATGGCATTGATGGATAGGGGAAGAGCAACTGACATCATCTACCTGGACTTATCCAAAGCATTTGACACTGTCCCCCATGACATCCTTGTCTCTAAACTGGAAAGACACTCGGTGGATAAGGAATTGGCTGCATGGTCACACTCAAAGAGTTGTGGTCAACGGTTCAATGTCCACGTCGAGGCCAGTGACAAGTGGTGTTCCTCAGGGATCGGTACAGGGACCAGTGCTATTTAACATCTTTGTTGGAGACATGGACAGTGGGATTTAGTGCACCCTCAGCAAGTTTGCAGATGACACCAAGTTGTGTGGTGTTGTGGACACGCTGGAGGGAAGGGATGCCATCCAGAGGGATCTTGACAGCCTGGAGAGATGGGCTTTTGAGAACCTCATGAAGTTCAACAAGGCAAAGTGCAAGATCCTGCACGTGGGTCGGGGCAATCCCATGCACAAGTACAGGCTGGGCGGAGAATGGATTGAGAGCAGCCCTGAGGAAAAGAACTTGGGAGTGCTGGTGGCTGAGAAGCTCAACATGAGCCGGCAATGTGCACTGGCAGCCCAGAAAGCCAACCGTATCCTGGGCTGTATCAAAAGGAGCATGGCCAGCAGGTCAAGGGAAGTGATTCTGCCCCTCTACTCAGCTCTTGTGAGACCCCACCTGGAATACTGCATTCAGCTCTGGAGTCCCCAACACAAGAAGGACATGGAGCTACTGGAACGAGTCCAGAGGAGAGCCACGAAGACGATCCGAGGGCTGGAGCACCTCTGCTATGAAGACAGGCTGAGAGAGTTGGGGCTGTTCAGCCTGGAGAAGAGAAGGCTCCGGGGTGATCTTATAGCAGCCTTCCAGTACCTAAAGGGGGCCTACAGGAAAGCTGGAGAGGGACTTTTTACAAGGGCGTATAGTGATAGGACAAGGGGCAACGGATTTAAACTGAAAGAGGGCCGATTTAGGTTAGATATAAGAAAGAAATTCTTTACATTAAGGGTGGTGAGGTACTGGAACAGGTTGCCCAGAGAAGTTGTGGATGCCCCATCCCTGGCAGTGTTGAAGGCCAGGTTGGATGAGGCTTTGGGCAACCTGGTGTAGTGGAGGATTTTCCTGCCCATGGCAGGGGGGTTGGAATTAGATGATCTTTGAGGCCCCTTCCAACCCTAACCATTCTATGATTCTATGATTTTTGTCAGTGAGGGGCAATGGCTTGGCTTGCCAAAGGCAAGAGCAATCACAATATCTGCCTCCTCAAACAGTAATATATTTAAACCTGTTGTCTTTGTTTAGTCAGCTAAACTATCTTAACTGAAACCCTCTTCATACAAAAGAAGAGTATACACCTCTGTATACAAAAGAAGAGAAGGTCCTGGGAACATGTAGTATTACAAATGAAATATCAATACTTATTTTTCTCACAATAGTGCAAGAACATGCAGACTTACTTAAAGGTTTGACAGTTGTTAATGACTGCAATCATGTATTGAACATAGCATTGAGGATACTGTCGACTTTTAAGATGTTCTTCTTTATACAACTGTGCTTCATCTTTGTACCTGTAACACACACGGAATGGCATTAAAGAGACAGAAATCTGCAATAACTTAAATACACCTGAAGGATGAAATGCTCCACAAGGGTCTATGAGGTATTTAAAAGTACTTTATAAAGGGCTCGTTGCTCATGTGATGTTTAGTCTTTCTGGCCTGGGCAGAATCCAGCCAAGGAGATGTTATCTGTCTTCCTTTGAGGAAGAGATGTAAGTTTGAGATATAAAAGAAAGCAAAACTGAGTCCAGAAATTAGAGCCATTTGCAGGGAGGAAATGAAGTGCCACTCATCACCACAGAAGAACTTCTGTGGTGAAAATGGGGAAGGGAACAAGAAAGCAAGAACAGGAAAGCTAAGAAAAGCTTGGTTGGCATGAATGTCATAGGAGAAGGACAAAGCAATACGCATTCACAGGAAAAACAAGCATTGGAATTCTAAGAACAAAGAGAGGCTGAGGCAGGACAAAGCATTTATATTTTAAAAATTATGTTACCTGGTTAGAAATGAATTCATTTGTTGAAGACACAGAAGGAGTACCTTTGTTTTCAAATCTTCATTTATCTGAGTAGCCACCTGAAGATTCTGCTCAAACATCTAAGTTAAAAAGTTACAAGGTTACAATAGTTACAAAAGTTACAAAGACAGGCCTCTATCAGTGGTAAACCAAAGACGGAACTCCTGTCTTGTTGGAGACTGTTACTAGCACTCCAGCTCTACATGTGCTTTTTTTTTTGGTTGGTTGGTGGTTGTTGTTTTTCAAACAAGTCCAGACAACTGCTCTGGACTAAACAAAAAATCACTATTTCCATAAGCATAATTAATAAATTATTGACAACCATTAATGTATGCTGTAGTTTCCTCCTTATACTGAAAACAGTTGCATTCTCTCTTCAGCAAAAAAGTACTTTCTATTTCATCAGGAATTTGGCTTTACAGTGGATCAAATTTCTCAGGTCAGCTCCTGCAGCTAGTCATGAATAACCTTATAACTTCAATTCCTTTTTTTTCTCCATATATGAAAGTAGCAAGTTCACATTAATTAAGTAGAAGGGTCCCCTGAACTTTAGAAACACAACTAGGTCACAAGATCTAGGTGACCTACAGGGAACTGCGTTTGAGAGGAGAGGGACTGGAAAGGAAGCTTACAAAGCCAGGTAGAAACATGAGCTGCTTTTATGCTGAGATAATTTTGGAAGTTTCACTGTTACATGAATCTCAACACTGCAGCCTTTGACAGCATGACACTAGAGCCAATCGGCCACCAGTTTCTTTGACAACACACACTTTCTGAAAAGGATTAGATGAAGTCAACCTTGGTGATACTACAAATGTGAAAGAATGTAGCAAAAATCCTGGTATAAGACAAGAAAAGAATAAAGTGTAAAACAAATGCAGGAAGAAGAGACCATCTATCTTTCATTGAAGGTACCTAACACTATATTCGTAAAGAAAAATTAGAAAGTGAGCTTAATAAGCTGATATTTTTCTGGTTGATAAAGATCACTTCAAAAACTTTCCATTTCTACTACCAACAAGAAGATGGTGTAGACTGGTGGGGGTTTTTTTTGGTGCTTTTTTTTAAAAAAAAAATCTTAGAAATAGCCTTATCTTTTCTGTTTTGAGGCTATTTAATAATTTGGACAGGCATTAATGTTAACTGAAGTAGTGTTTAAAATGCAACATTTCTGATCTTCAGCAGAACTTTTCTTTCCAATATTAAGGTGTTCGTATAACAGAATAATTTATAGGAACAAATACATGCCTAACTACCTCAGCATCATATTAACAAACAGTATTCTAATAACTTACAAGCATCTCATCTGGTAGGCTTGTATTACAAATTCACATGAAGAGATCTAGGTAAAAGCAGTTAACTAAATACAAATATCAACTAAATAGGCTGGGAAAAATATCTTTGTAATCTACACATAAAAAGAACTAAGTCTCTAAGTGTTAAAGTGAAAAAGGCAAATGAAAACCTCAAAAGAAACAACTCCAACTAACAAAGCTACAGGAAAAAAAACACCACTAACTTTGATAGACACAGAAACAATAGCATTAAAAACGGTTCGGTTTGCCCTCACTCCCTGTCCCTCCATTCCCCCAAACGCACGTACTGCTTCTGTAGATTTTCTAGAAAAAACAAGTTCTCTTATACCTGAAACACAATAGCTGGGAGCGTAGTCTGATAGTACCCATCTTGATCTGCTTCTGGCTCAGTTTCTTTTATCCAGTCTTTTTTATCTGTCTCCAGTGCTTTTCGTAGCCAGCCAATGATGTTAGACTACATTAAATAAAGCAACCAAGAAAAATCAAACTTTTTTTTTTTTTCACTTTAACACAACAAAATACCCCACTACAATATTTGGAACAGCAGCCGCTTCCATAATGAAGAGTGGCACAGCAACAAATAACGCTGACCACTCTTATCATCCCTACAGGACACAGGTAACAGATAAATTAAAATTTGCATTGATAAAGACAAAGATTAGTACTGGTAAAGAAGTGATGTAGTTTGAGCCAAGCTTAGACACATTTTGGAAGGGGAGTGCTCTGAGCACAGAGAGCACGTCAGTTTTATCAGAATCAACGTGTTTACTAACTTTGGAAGCCTCAGGCTTGATGTTTCAAACTGAACTTTTCCAACAACTGAAAATGTTAGGTAATACTTAATGTTGGAAAATTTGCACACATCTGCTTCTAGTTCCTTTTACCTACATTTTAGGAAACTGGTGCTTGTTACTGTCAGAGACAAAAACCAAGGATAGGATTAAACAAGCTTCATTTCTTGGAATTTACGTGCTGCAGAAAATAGTGATAGAGATAGAGCAGTTGGCTCTTCTCCCATCCAATATGCACATTATACAGCCAACAGACAGTAGGAACAACTGTTTTTAGAACTAGATTAAGCCAGTTTTCTGATCACTTGCAAGACATGGATACCATGGACATATTTGCAAGAGTAGGTTGCAAAGATCAGCATGTTTGCTAAATATGCAATTGGATTCTTTGATTTCTGTCTAAAATAATTATTCCTATGTTTTCAAAGGGTTGAAGGTTTCTTCCTCTTTTCTACTTTGTTCACATTTTATTAAAACCCCTAGTAATATACAGGTTCATACTTCTTTCCAATGTGTAACAGGTATATTAGTGTGCCCTACTATGCAAAATTAAACACGACCAGTAGCCATGTACGGAAAGGGCAAAAAAGTCTAAAATGGGTAAATTTATTTTTTATTCATGTTTACATTTTTAAATCTATTAAATCAGCATTTTTTTGTCAAAACTCCTATCAGCAGATAGGAGGGCCACAAAGATGATCCGAGGGCTGGAACACTTCTCCTATGAAGACAGGCTGAGAGAGTTGGGGCTGTTCAGCCTGAAGGAGAAAAGGCTCCAGGGTGATCTTATAGCAGCCTTCCAGTACCTAAAAGGGGCCTACAGGAAAGCTGGAGAGGGACTTTTTACAAGGGCGTATAGTGATAGGACAAGGGGTAATGGATTTAAACTGAAAGAGGGGAGATTTAGATTAGATATAAGGAAGAAATTTTTCACTCAGAGGGTGGTGAGGTACTGGAACAGGTTGCCCAGAGAAGTTGTGGGTACCCCATCCCTGGAGGTGTTCAAGGCCAGGTTGGATGAGGCTTTGGGCAACCTGGTGTAGTGGAAGGTTTCCCTGCCCATGGCAGAGGGTTGGAACTAGATGATCTTTGAGGTCGCTTCCAACCCTAACCATTCTATGATTCTAAGAACAGTAAGTCTAAAGTTCCAACTATCCAAATATCCAGCCTCAGAGGCAACCAACAGTAGGCCTTTAAAGAAAAATACATTTAAAACCTGACAATCACACACTGATTCCTTTGCCATGTAGTTGACCAGTTTCCAGTGACAGTTACAACAAGCAAGAAGCAGTGTCTTTATATTTAAGATGCACTTGAATTGGCATCCACAAAAGGAAATTAGGCTGATGCAGCTGACAGACATGGAAGGAAAAAGACTATTAAAAGAATCCAACGAGCAAACATGAACATCCTGATTTCCTTGAAAAGATCACATCTGTATCAAATGTTGATGTAGTTACTATAGGGACCAAGCTGCATTCAGTGGCTTGTAAGTATAGTAATACCTAACATACTAGCACTATGAATTTAGACATATGAAACACTGGAATTCCTTCTTTTCTAATAAAATATGATTCATACAGTCTGTAAAGCATAATTATTCCTTGAAATGTCATGATTCACATTTACAAAATCATCCAATCATAATGTTATAAGCAAACCTACATAGAGTATATGAAAATTTATAAAATGGCAATACCGAGTTCACAGTTGTCACAATAGTTTCCTCTGATGGAGGAACAGCCCTGAGGCACTAATGAAGCTATACATTCAGCTGAAGGTGTCTCTGAATTATTGTTACTCACAGTAAGCGTTGACATATATTTGCTGAGAAGCTGGTCTACAACATTCTGTGAAATCAAAGGATTCAGAGAATTCACATCCACTTCAGGACACAGTTCTGAATTTCCCATCATCTCTGTACTGAGTTTATTAAAAAAGAAAAAGACATTGCAGATTAGTAAAGAAAAATGAGTTGAAAAAGTTAAGAACTATGCAGCTTTTTCCTTGTATGACCACTGTAAGGGGCAATTTTCCAATACCTACACATTTCAAAACATTCTTAACAGTACCTGCAACAATAAACGAATTTACAAGGAATGTAAATAAAACTATACAAAAGAAAGAAGAACACGTAAAAGCTACAGCCCAGCATATATTTTAAAAGTTACAGACATTTTAAGTATTCAACCTTTTCATGTGTTTCTAACTTATGTACAAGAAGCAGCAATTGCTTAAGACTGCATAAAAGCCAACTGGTTCAACTTGTGGGCTCATAACAGGTGACATTTTTCTATGTCTTAAATTTCAGAAGTGGTGACAGACAACTTACACATTCTGAATTTCAGAATGGGAAACATCAGTGAAAAGTATGAAATACTCTTCTCAGAGTTTCTTAAAAGAGCTTCTGGTATGCTACTTGTATCAGATCCACATCAAAGCTAAAATATGTCAAAAGAAAGTCTACCAATGTTTCTGGTATTGGTAGAGAATACACCTAATAAAAGAGGAGGAGGCATCATGTGTGCCAAATCAGAAGCGCCCTTCGTGGGTACTGTATTGTAACAGCACCATTAGCTACACTCACTTGCAAGGGAAAATTCGTGACTTTGTAAGATGAGAAAGAAACTAAAGCAACTCTCAAAAATATTTTGACAAGGATTACGTAAATTTAGTATTTCACAGTGATATTTTGCATCTATAATTTATAAGATATTATATAATGAGTTGCTTATGTAACTAAAACAAAAAAACAAAGCTATGTGAAAGCACAACATAGCAAGAACTCTTAATATTTCAGGTTCAAACAAATCAATAACTTCAGAGTGCCTTATTAAACAGCTGATGGAAATATATTCAATCATAATAACATAAATTGTTTCACAGTCCATTTCTAGTGTGCTTTTCAGAAGGAAGCCACAAATTCCATATTTGCTCGGTCAACTATAAAAATCAAATAGCAAATAATAAAAAAAATACTAAACAAGTGTTTGGTTTGCATATTTCTGCAAGTTAAAGTTGTTCTCTGGGTACATGCAGTGAGTCAGCATAGTGGTGCTTCCTCATTATGAAAAAAATCTCAAAGCACTAAAAAAACCCGTACTATGGCTAACTACTTAAAAAGCAAACGTTTGTTTTTGAAACCATAAAAGCTACTGTAACTGAGCACTTCACATTTGTAGCATCTTCCTGAGCCTGTAGGAAAAGAGACTGAAGATATTTTAAGTGGCTCAAGCTATACAGAAAACAGAATTCCATTCTGTTGCTGTTTACATTAAGAATACACGTAACAGCAGGACCTGCTCTAGGCTTATTCAGGGGAAATATGAGAAGCTTATTACGGCACTGAGCCATATCAGAAAATATTTCTAGCCTCATTATACTGTCATTATCCCTATTTCACAAGGGCACAGAGTCACTAAAACTTTCTCAAAGCTCATCAGCTGAAACCTCAAAGACCACAGGCTCCTACCTCTAGCCCCTCAAAGGCAAAAATTCTTCCTATGCACAAGTTCTCCTTCCCAATTGCCACAACTCAAGTGTCTGGCGGAAAGGAAGCGACAGACAACCCTCTCAGAAGTATCAGGAGGCTTCCAACCGTAGGGAAGAGTTCTTTCCCTTCAACAAAAAGTTTATAATCAAGTTGAAATTTCAACCAGAGTTGTATTATCTGGAACCTAACGTTTTAGAAGACCTCTATTCTGCCTCCTGTGCCAGGCTTGCCATCAATTCTGCTCTATCTGTCAAAAGAGGTACTCGATCCAGGGACAGCATCCAGCTAGATACAAGGTACCATTCCTTCTGTTCCTTAGAGTGAAGATCGTTCATATAGACACTGTCTATAGCAACATGGGTGAACTCTTAGCAGTTTTATCCACACTTGATCAGTATCTGGTAAAAATGATATTTTGAATATGGGCATCATAGATTTCATAGATTTCTAGGTTGGAAAAGACCTTAGAGATCATCGAGTCCAACCGTCCCTAATCCCCATTAAACCATATCCCTAAGTAGATCATCCACCCTATTCTTAAACACATCCAGGGATGGGGACTCAACCACCTCCCTGGGCAGCCTATTCCAGTGGCTGACAACCCTTTCAGAGAAGAAATACTTTCTAACACCCAACCTGAATCTCCCCTGACTAAGCTTTTACCCATTTCCCCTTGTTCTGTCACCCATCACTAATGTAAAGAGCCCTTCCTCCACCTCCCCACCATCCCTTCTCAAGTATTTGTAGGCTGTAATCAGGTCTCCCCTCAGCCTCCTCTTCTCCAGGCTAAAACAGGATCTTACACAACTTAATATTTTTCCTAAAACACAGGTTAGAGTCCTGACCCCAACCCAGTAGAGGTTTAGTAATAGCAGTATTTTTCCAAAGCTCTCACCGACTTAAATATGATAGAGAAATACATCTAGCACAGTAAAGCTGCATCCCACTCAAATATTAAAGGCTATTATTCCACATGGACCATCATGTTATTTCTCATCCATAAGCTGAATACAGTTGTAAAAACAGCTTCCAAGACATGCTCTGGTAAAGTAGAACATGATTATTTTAAAATTCCTATCTTGCAAATATTATAAATAGAAGTTATACATGGCTTTCTTATCAATTTAAACTTCCATTCTTATCAATGGAAAAAACCCTCAATGCTTCTCTTAATTAGTACTTCTGAGATGGTTTTGAAGCGCAGCTGTAATATGCAAACACAAGTATGAATTTGTATGTTCCCTCTAATATTCAAATACATTTAATAAAACTATCTTCCACCATACAATGTTCCATAGAAGTGAACAAGGAATGCAACAGCAGTTTAGAACCTATTTTTTCATGCAGATGGTGAAATATCACAGAAACACAGGTCTCATGATGTCATGCAGGCCATCCTCCTCCACAGTTTATTATAAACATATCCCTATGGAGAATTGTTTATTGTATTGTTAAGAGATGTCCAGCGACTGAGATTCGGTAAGCTCTGCAAGTATCCCATTTGAGCAGTGCACTTTTCCCGCTCACAAGCCTGAGCTGATTTCTTCCACTGCAAACATACAGAACAGCTAATTATCATCCTTTTTATAACAGTTTATCATAATCTATAAGAATACAGTTACTGTACTGCCCTCCTGCCCTCTCAGGCTTCCCCCCCTACCCCCCTTTTTCGTTGAAAAGAGAGAAACTCAAAGCTCTAATTTTTTCTACAGATATTTCCTCCAATCTCCATCGCACTTTTTACATGGATATACAGAGCAGTGCATTTTCAGATACCTTGTACCGTATCCACTACTCTCACTGTTTCACTTCCTTTCCAATATTTTGCCATCAGGTGCTACAGGCCACATAATCAGCTTTAGCAGGAGTGATACCTTTTGATTTGCTTGCTTTGCTCCCTCCCTTTGCCCTTCCTATGGAAGAATACATGGATTGAGAGATTTTAGCTTGGATTGAGCAGATTTTGCTCAATAGCTGTGTGCTCTACTTTCTAGGGGAAGGGTAAATTTTAAGACCAAGAGTTGCCTTACTGGAACATTAACCCCAGAACATAAATGAAGAACCTGGGCACCTAGGCCATGTCGCTATAGGTAGAAGGATTCATGTACTTCTGATTATCATTCATTGTGGAGTTATTCCTCTGACCTTCTATTAAGAAAGAAGAAAAAGCCAATGAACTCAGCACCTTTATCTTATCAGTAGCTGTACCCTTATTAGTAGCTGAATCTTTCACATACCCTGCACAGGTATGTTAAGTATGCATTAGTGATGCTCCTGATTGTTCCTTGCAGGCAAGAAAAGCAGGAGAACTTCATAGTGTAGAGCAAAGCACAGAGTTCTAAACACAATATGAATCTTCAAGCTGGTTATAAGACTCCTACAGAACAGTATTATCTCCTACCTATTTGCTTTATGGTATTATACTCTAAACCTATGAAAGCATCCACTTTGTTGAATTGGTGAGATTGAACAACTGAAGACAGCAGAAGTGTACACAGTGCAGACTCTGGGTCAATGCCAGCCATTGAGAACAGGATTACAATCACAAGCCACAGAAAGGCCAGCATTACTTTTTCCCAAACAAATCAGTTGCCCTAGTAACTACATGCCAGCAAAAACTGAACAGTTGCCCTTTGCGCTGTTTCTATCTGGAGGATAAAAAAAAACCACCACACCAAAAGAAGAAACCCTTAATGCTTAAGTTATCCCAACAAATCATACCACTCAAGAGTTTAAGAGTATCACAGGAGACAATCTGGAAGCAGAAATTCTTCTAAATAAACAAATCACCGCACGGTTCTAAGAGAAAATCTGAAGGAAGTTACTACATTCTTTCCATTTAACAGTAATGAAACAGTCCCAACCCCTGTAAAAAAGAACAATAGAAAGTTAAGAACCATACAAATCTTCTGGGGCTGCAGCCAACAACGAACGTTTTGTTTCACACAGAGGAGCTCTTAGTCTTTTCTGCTTTTCCCACCGAACTGGTACGCAAATACATGGTGACTGTAAATTCAAGCAAATCTTTAACCGCATTAAAACTCTAAGCTTACAAAGCTACTAAAAAAATAAAATAACATCACGTATTAGAAAATCCAAACAAATTTTAAGGAGCAATTCCCGAAGAGTAAAATGCATAACAAATATCAACCTAGCAAGTTCTTTACTATTATTCTTCTTTTGTTTTTTCTTTTATGTTAACAGACGTGTAAATAATAGCACACAAACTGTGTTTTGTATACTTACTCTCAACTACTGCTATCGGAAATGAAGGGGGGAACCTTACCTTTTGTACGTATTTAAAACCCAAGTTAGAAGGCTAACAATCTCATTTGCTTCTAGATCCTCTGCAGCAAGCTCTTGCATGCGGGTGGACAAAGCCTGATGGTACATGTTTAACAATCTGTTGAAAATGTCATAATGTGGAGGAAAACATTGATCCAGCAGCGTTTTAGCCACAAGCAGGTCATCAAGGACATATTTACGTATGATTTCTAGATGGCGCACAAGCCACATTTTGTCAGATTCTCTAGTATCTGCCTGAGTGCCTTCAATTCGTGTGCTCACAGTTCTTTCCAAAATGTTGAACATTTTTTCTTTCCACTTCTTTGGTCTGCCAGGAGGTATGAATCCAGTTTGTTTTTTCCGGTCTAACATGCGCCTGTCAATCTTCTCCTCCCTCTCAATTATCCTAACAACAGAAACAAGCAAGGTTGGATCTCGACGGACTGTAACAAGAGATCTTTGAACCACCATCCAAAGTTGCTTTGCCAACTCCTCGGAAAGTTTCTGCATATCCCCGAAGTACGTATGGATGAGGTTCATGTCATGTGTGTTCTTGCTGTCCATGCGATACTGCTCATACATCAAGTCATCACGAGAACACTCTAAATCCATCAGTTTTCGATGAGCTTGCAGGAGTTCCCCGCGTTCAATCAGATCTTGGGTCTCCCTGACTATCTCTGGAACTGAAACAAGAGCAAAAAAGAAGAAAAAAGAAGTAAAACAACACAATCAAAATAGAAAAATACAAGACAATAAAAAGGAAACTAGGAAACAAGTTGGAGACTTGTCTCCAGACTCTGGAGAACAACTGGAGAACAGCTGTAGTAATTCATTTGAAATAATAGAAAGGAAATTATTTCAAAGCATTAAAAAATTGATAGTAAATGCTATGTATCTTTATACTTTATTAACTATAATGCTCCATTTTGATTAGTGGCTAAACAAACCAAGATCATAGTGCAAAAAGAACGTAATTTCCTTTCTCTCCCTCGCTCTCCCCTTAAAAAAAACAAATCATAGAATCATAGAATCGTTAGGGTTGGAAGGGACCTTCAAAGGTCATCTAGTCCAACCCCCCTGCAAGGAACAGGGATATCTCCAACTAGATCAGGTTGCTCAGGGCCTCATCCAACCGGGCCTTGAACGTCTCCAGGGATGGAGCATCCACCACCTCTCTGGGCAACCTGTTCCAGTGTTCTACAACTCTCATGGTAAAAAATTTTTTCCTAATATCCAACCTGAATCTACCTCCCTCTATTTTAAAACCATTACCCTTTGTCTTATCACAACTGGCCCTCCTGAACAGCCTCTCCCCATCTTTCTTGTAGGCCCCCTTGAGGTACTGGAAGACCGCTATAAGGTCACCCCGGAGCCTCCTCTTCTCCAGGCTGAACAGCCCCAACTCTTTCAGCCTGTCCTCATAGGAAAGGTGCTCCAGCCCTCTTATCATCTTCGTGGCCCTCCTCTGGACCCTCTCCAACTGGTCCATGTCCTTCTTATGTTGGGGACTCCAGAATTGGATGCAATACTCCAAGTGAGGTCTCACGAGGGCAGAGTAGAGGGGGAGAATCACCTCCCTTGACCTGCTGGCCACGCTCCTCTTGATGCAGCCCAGGATGCGGTTGGCCTTCTGGGCCGCAAGAGCACATTGCCGGCTCATATTGAGCTCATAAATCCATGAATTCTACCATGAAACAAATTGCAGTAAAAGCCTTTTGTATAAGAAAACTAGTAACTTGCCTGACTAAAAGTCACTTACCCTGTTGAACCTGAGGCTGCATATACCCAACAAATACTGCATTTTATCTCCTTCTTGAAGGAACAGTTTTTGCCTGCCTAAGGCACAAAGGAAGAATAGGGATAATTACCTATGCTGCTAAACTATTTAGAAGATTTTTTTTTTCTTTATTATTTTTCAGTATATGAGGAATACTGTAGAAGAGAATTAGGATCCTGCGGGGGAAAGAACTGAAAATCTCAGCAGAAAAATCGGCACTACAAAAAAGGCAGCTAGCGATAAAACTGGCACCCCCAAAAAGGGTTTGAAAAGACAGTTACACAGAGTCATTACTGCCGACAAAAACCACTTGGTTCATAAAACATTTGTTTTGCTCCTAATGAAGTTATCATCAGTTATGCTGTTTAACAATCCTGGCGGGGAGATGCTTCACACTAAAAACCTCTCAGAATGCCAGAAAAGAAAAGGCTTATTGTCTCAATTGCATTCATCAGTGTAAAAGAACCCACCCCCACCCCTGGCCTCCAAAACAACTCAGCATTGGAACATAACAGAATTTTGTTATTCTTTAGTTTTTATTGCTACACATCGCATGGAAATAGAAATACTACTCTAAGTTGCACACTGTATCCCAGTTTGGTACCGTGGCAGTTAGATGCACTCTTATAGAGATTAAGTAAGTCAAACTGGTATGACTGGGAACAAGTTTTGCTTTAGAGGTGTGTTTTGTGAACTGCTATCAGGAGAGAAAGGGAGAAAAGAGACTGTGATAGTTTAGTCCCCATTGTAGGGGTAAAACTCATGCAGTTACTTGTAAGGAGGAAAGCCCTGGCAAGGAATTCACCCTGATTCAAGACGGAACGGAATGTGCACCAAAAAAGCTTGCAGAAAAGGACAGAGGTAATCTCATTTGTTTTGTCTTTACAGAAGCCGTTATATCACATTAATCTTACTTAATTTTGCAAACCTTCATAGTTGTGTAGTCATGCAAGGAAGGAGTGTCTCCCATGCATAATTTCTTTATGTACAAGTTGGTTTCTGTGACTGTGCTGCCTGATTCTGAAGCAAGGACTGTGCACAGTTGAAAAAGAACTTCAGGTAGTTCATAGTCACGCTTGCAACATTAATGGAAAACATTAAGGCTCCTAATTGTTGTTTTAGAATGATCACCAGGGAATCTTTGACTGGAGATTTTGCTGTTTCATATTTTGCCTTTGTTTGCAGAAATTTTTGCTTCCTAAATCTTTTGGGACTATTTTTACTCAATGGGCTTGCTATAGGTGCCCAACTCACTAGCAACATTCCAGACTTTTCCAAGTTTTCTTTCTTTACATGCCGCTTGCAGATTTCAGTCTTTCATACTACACATGTTGTCCCTGCTACTGATTGCTAGCAAGAAGCTTGTGACTTATGTCTGAGGATGAGATAGGCTAGGCTAGAAGTTCTTTCAGTGCAATTTAGACTCAATATATATTAGTTACCAGCTGCTTCCCTGAGTGTGATGCTTATGTGATTCTCCCTTAATTCTTCATTCTCAGCAAGGTTTAAAGTTCTTAACATTACTTGATAACCTTACAGCTGTTAGTAGCATTCTCAAGTGCTAAATAAAGAACATTAGATTACCTGAAAAGATGTTCTTAAGATTTTCTACAGCAGCTGCCAGCTGGCTATGTTGGACCACAGCATCCTTAACATCCTTGAGGTTTTCTATAGTGTTGATGCTTTGTCTCCAGTCCTTATTGACATCTATCAAAGACTGCTGAATGTCCTTCACATCGTTCAGTGCATTGTGCAGTTGGCTTAAACCTGTTCGTACTCCATCTAACTGTGACTGGATCGCTGCCTTAAATACAAAACAAAAAGACAAAGAAAGAACCCATATCAATCATTATAAGTTCTGTATTTTAAACACTTCTTAGGAATTATATTTCATTTCAGTATCTAACATTTTTCAGAGAAACAAAACAAAACACTGAAAAGAAAACACTATACTTTACTAGAAAGGTGTAACTGTGTGTGCACACATGTTCTTTTTCTGAAGTTCTGAAGTTGTATTTAGTTTTAAAGGACCTAGACACCACTAGTTCACTCACAACACTAACATAGGAGCTTAGGCAGTTAGCTTGCAGCCTTCCAGTACTTAAAGGGGGCCTACAATAAACCTGGAGAGGTACTTTTTGCAAGGGTGTGTACTGATAGGACAAGGGGCAATGGCTTTAAACTGAAAGAGGGGAGATTTAGATTAGATATAAGGAAGAAGTTTTTCACTCAGAGAGTGGTGAAGCACTGGAACAGGTTGCCCAAAGAAGCTGAGGATGCACCATCCCTGGAAGTGTTCAAGGCCAGGTTGGATGAGGCTTTAGGCAACCTGGTGTAGTGGAGGGTTTCCCTGCCCATGGCAGGGCGGTTGGAACTAGATGATCTTTGAGGTCCCTTCCAACCCAAACCATTCTATGATTATCTTTATAAATCTGTATTAAACCACGGTCATGGGAAGGCAGAATGAGATTTCTTTGCATTTTCTTCATAAATTCATTTCAAAGGGGGACACCAGAAGAAAACTGATACAGATGTTTCAACAGAATGCTTGGTATGTACAGATTCACAAAGTATTTTACTAAAGCAATCACAAATTTTGACTGGTAACACAAAATGTTCAAAAAAAAAGAAAGAGTAAAATTCTGAAATGTTCCAAAAAAACCCCAAACCAACCCCTCTGGTCTGTGGTGCCAGAAAGCCAAAATAATCAAAAGGAATCCAGTTGAAACAAACAAACAAAAAAACCCCAAAAACAAACCTAAAAAAAAATTTCAACACTGAAACACCAACAACCAGACCAACAATCCAACTACTAGAATACTGTGGCATGAAGAGAGGCTATTGATGTATGTATCTCTTGTGACAGGTGACACTTGAAATAAGGACTCTTCAAACAGGCTATTAGTCCTGAATATCATTTGACAGTCCAGACACCTTACAGAACATGCATTATAGTGCGTATTTGAGTGAAAGAAAGCAGATCACATCCATTCCATGTTTTTTATACATGTATTTTTAAAAAGATATGACTAAGACGAAATCAGGTGAGTGGAAAATGAAAGTGGTAATAGCAGACTTCAAAAGACAAGCCAAAAGCCAGACATCAGTGAAGACTCAGATGGATATACCAAGGACTTGAAGTAATCAGTAAAGAAACGAGGCACCAATGGTTTTGCTAAGCTCAAAACACATTTTTTGCCAATCTTTTAAGGCCAAAAAGCTTTGGCAGTCATGGAAATTTCTCTGTGATACTAGAAGCCAAAGAGGAAATCCTGGTAACTATGAACAACATTTATTGTGTTTTAAAAGTACTGGGAAAGTCCCAGAAAAATGTAGTGATTCTTAAACGACTGCTATTTATTTCAAATTATGACATGCTGATTTTACTGATAAAAATGTATTTTCCTGTCAGATTCAGTACAATTAAGCAGTGGTAGGGCATTTTTATACAATATCTATCTACAGAACTACTGCATTAACACATTTTTTCCCCTACAGGAACTGAGTTAATTAGGATACAGAAGTTCTGGTTTTGACTGGGACAGAGTTACTTTTTCTCTTTAGCAGCCAGAAGAGCTCTGTGCTTTGGATTTAGTCTGGGATTTGTTAGGAGAAGAATGTTGATAGCGCACTGATGTTTGTAGTCAGTACTGGAACACCAAGGACCTTTCAGCTTCCCATGTTTTTGCCAGTGTGCAGGAGCACAACAGGCTGGGGGGAAGCATGGCCGGAACAAAGGGCCCACAACTCCTCTTAGAATTTGAACTTAGACTCATGATTGAGGGCCAAATTGGCCAATGGAGTATTCCATATCACACAACAGGGAGGTCATTCTGCCCCTCTACTCTGCTCTCGTGAGACCCCACCTGGAATACTGTGTTCAGCTCTGGAGTCCCCAGCACAAGGACATGGAGCTGCTGGAGCGGGTCCAGAGGAGAGCCATGAAGATGATCCGAGGGCTGGAACATCTCTGCTATGAAGACAGGCTGAGAGAGTTGGGGCTGTTCAGCCTGGAGAAGAGAAAGATCCGGAGTGATCTTATCGCAGCCTTCCAGTACTTAAAGGGGGCCTACAGGAAAGCTGGAGAGGGACTTTTTACAAGGGTGTGTACTGATAGGACAAGGGGCAATGGATTTAAATTGAAAGAGGGCAGATTTAGATTAGATATAAGGAAGAAGTTTTTCACTCAGAGGGTGGTGAGGCACTGGAACAGGTTGCCCAGAGAACTTGTAGATGCGCCATCCCTGGAAGTGTTCAAGGCCAGGCTGGATGAGGCTTTGGGCAACCTGGTGTAGTGGAGGGTTTCCCTGCCCATGGCAGGGGGGGGGGGGGGGGAGGGGCTTTTGGGGCCCTCCCTTCCAACCCTAACCATTCTATGATTCTATGAATATCATGCCCAGTATATAGATGAGAGCTGACTGTGAAGAATTCCTGCTCTTTAGGAAACTCTCTTCTGAGGGCTCTCTCTCAAGTGCTCCATCTCTCAGAGTGCGCTCTCTCTGTCTCTCTCTTTTCAGGCCTCTCACTTGTCCAGGATTGCAGTGTCGGGACCTACCTGTTTCAGAATCATTTGCCAGGACAGGACAGGGGTTGGTCACCGGGTAATGAGCAATTACAGTGTACATCACTTGTCTGTATATATTAGTTTACATTCTTTTTATTTTTTATATATATTCATAAATTATTATCACTATTACTTTAGATTTTATATTATTAAACTGTTCTTATCTCCTTCACTTTTCCCCTTTAATTCTCTACCTCATTCCCCAGGGGTGAGTGAGGGTGCAGGAGAGGCTGTGTGGCATTCAGTTGCTGGCCAGGTTAAACCACAACAATATGATACTCAAGCATTGAATATGATACTCAAACACAACCTTCTGAAGCTGATTATAAAGTATTTTTAAAAATCACATGACCATTAAATGTTCAATACTTCTGATTTGATATTTCAATTTCTTCTGAGGTAGGTCTTCCAAGAATTACATATTCAAATTTTTGCCTATTTAACTTTTGCAGAAACTTATAACATTGAACGGAAACAATCACTAATCCTGGACACTGACACAAACAGCCAAGGAAAATCTTAAAACCACACATCTACTCATGTTCAGTTTGTCTTTCAACAGTTGGGGCCAGGGGAGGGGGAACAGAGAGTGAGGCATGTCCTAGCATTGTGGACTTCGCTTCCTAGAATGTGTATTCATCTTAGATTGGACTGACCATCACTGTATTAAAAAAAAAACACAAAACAAAACAAAAGCAAGCCATCCTAGGAACAGGGCTCAAAATCTCATTTTTATCTCTTTTCAAGTGACAGCCCTCAACACTAAGCCACGAAACCAGGATCCTGGCTGCCTGGTCTCCCTAGAGCCCTATGGTTCAAATTCATGATTGTATAGGAGCTAAGAATCAAAAGGTAGGGGATTCAAGCATGTCTATACTCAGGAAAACCCATGACCTAGGAACTCTCCTATGATATGTATGGAGTATTTCTTCAGGGTGAGAGAAAACTTAGACCTAAGTTATCCCATTGACTGAATAAATGCATGAAGATGGCCGTCAATGCTCTTAACTTTTCAGGCTCTGGTACAGAGTCCAAGCAGCTCTTCACCTACATTTTGGACTTCAGAGCCCAGAAGCATCAGCCTCCAGTGCTAGCTGGTGCTTATCACCCATTGTTTCAGAGTTCTGCTACCAATCTTTAAAAAATACTGCTTCACTAACTGCCATCAGTCTCACACATGAAACAGATAAGTTTGACACATTTCAAAGCAGTTTTTCTTGTAAGAATTTATATAACGCAGGAAGAAGCGCTGAGAAGAATGTAAGAAATTGACATAATGATATTTCGGATAGGACATAGAAGTAGGATAATCAGCTGGTGCAGATGCTGATTTCTGGGGGGCAGAATACCATTGCAGATCTCTGCTGCTTCATCCCTGTAAGTGACACACAACTATTACCCTGGTTTTCCATTAACTTGATTATCTTGATTAATCTGAAGAAAATGATGACAAAGACAAAAGCATATCCAGTCAGAAAGCAGCACCAACGTGTTCACACTAAAAGATTTACCATGTGGTCATTTACACAGATGAAGCAGCTGAGATTTTCAACAGTGATCCAATCTGAAGTCAGCAACTTCTCCAGCTGATGATCCTGACAATCCTGTCTCTCCATCTTCCACACCATACATACACACAATTTAAATACAGAGCAAGAGTATTTCTCACATGCTCTCTGTGCTCCCATTCACTATAGTAGTTCTTATGGGAAAAAATGCTCTTATCCATTGCATCTTTAAACACGACCTGTTTCAGGAATGCATTCTGAATGGAATAAGGGGGTATTGTACTGCTTTTTGGAACAGGTATTTCTGACCATCTATAGATGACTGAAGTTAAGGCAACTTAAGGAGAATGACAAGGAAACTTCCTAGCTATAAAGTGGATTTAGGCATTTACAGAACTTAAAGTTATGTTTAGTCATCACTGTCTATAGAAGCAGCCAGCAGGCAAACGACTGTGCTCATATATTATAAATAGATCACAGGAACTAAACAGTCAATCAATTATATATAGACTCCACTATATGCTTCCTGTCTTAAATCTGAAAAACCCAGTTCAAGTCATCATGAAAATTTCTGTTTCTATGCTACAGACAAAAATTAACATGTAGTTTGCTAACAAATTTTTTCCACTATGAAAGAAGACAGGCTTTTTTCTAGTTCATGTAGACCTCCACAAAGAAGGAGCCATCAAATACTTGTAACAAGCTAACTTATTCTGAAATATAAGATTAGATACAGTGTATACCAGCTATTTTGACCTGGTAAACCCAAAAATATTTCCCAAAACACTATTCTAAGGCTCTACTCCAACTACTTAATATAGTTGTCTAAGATGACTGCTGGCTAGTGAGCACCACTGAAGGAAGAAAACACAGAACTCAGTAACATAGAGACACTACACATAGGATGATCATACTCATATTTCAGGCTAAGTCTGTGTGTATGCATCTGAGCTCAGTTACATGTACACATGTGAAGGAGGGAGAAAATCATGGAGTACACTTCTGCAAGAGACAAGAATGTGACAGATTCTAGCTCTTCCATAGACCCATGTAGAAGTCAGAGACTAAACTGACTGATCTTTTCCAGATGCAATCATCAATTTTGTGTTACAAGTTCAGTATTCAATCATTAAGACAAAGTTTTGTTGGCCGACGGGCTATACGGCATGAAAGTAGATGTCCATGAACATGAATAAACTGTAGAAGTGACAGGAAATCAGAACATGTGAAATGCTCAAATAAAATTTCAGTAACACAAAAAGTATTAGTTTGTGTTACTTTCACGATGCAAAGATTTGGATATAGAGCAAAAATTAAAAGTCTGTGGTTGTTGTGGTTTAACCCCAGCCAGCAACTAAGCACTACACAGTGGCTCACTCACTTTCTCCTCAGTGAGATGGGAGAGAAGAGAATTGGAAGGGTAAAAGTGAGAAAACTCATGGGTCTAGATAATAACAGCTTAATAATTGAAATAAAATAGTAAAATTGTAATGAAAAGGAAAATAACAGAGAGACACAAAATGCAAGAAAGACAAGTGACGTAAATGAAACCAATTGCTCTCCACCAACCGAGTGATGCCCAGCGGCACCTTGGCCAGCTGTTCCCTTAGTTTATATGCTGAGCGTGATGTCACATGTTGTGGAATATCCATTTGGTCAGTTGGGGTCAGCTGTCCCGGCTGTGTCCCCTCCCAACTTCTTGTGCACCCCCAGCCTACTCGCTGGTGGGGTGGGGTGAGGAACAGAAAAGGCCTTGACACTGTGTAAGCACTGCTCAGCAATAACAAAAACATCCCTGTGTTATCAATGCTGTTTCCAGCACAAATTCAACACATAGCCCTGTACTAGCTACTATGAAGAAAACTAACTCTACCCCGGCCAAAACCAGCACAATGGTTTAAAACCATCTCAATGAAAATGTAAAAGAAAAAAAAAAGAAAAAGAATAGAAAGTACATTCGTGCCACACAGTGGACACTCAGGTTTATCAAGCTTTGTACCTTGAGTCGAGCTTCTACTGAAGCCTTCTTACGAGCTTCCCTCCTGCGATACTGCTCCACTTTATCCAGCTGATCAGGACGCTGAAGCATTCCCGCTACTCTCTGAACAGCTGTTGCAACTGCTTCCCTATCTGTTTCCTCCATTGTTGACTAGGACCTCAAAATGTCTTCATAATTTAACAGTACTGAAAAGAAATATGATATTTTTAGAAAATACATTTTCATTTGATGGCTATATTTCATTTCAAAGTTAACAATTTGAGAACTGACTTTGGCAATAAAAACTGCAACTTGACAGAAGCATCATTAGAAACCATTACAAACAGTAGTAACTAGAATTCTAAAAGAATCACATTTGAAGTCACTTTACTCCGTTTCATTAGTTTACCTGAAATGTTCTCTGGTTACTGGTTTTTCACTTACCTTGCTCTGCATAAGTCCGTATCAAAACAAGAGAACAACAACAATGAAAGAACAGCACACGTTCATTTAAAGAAAAGATTCTACCTTACCCTAGAGTAGGTTTGCCTATTAAAAGGGGAATGAGATAAGCATAAAGAAATCTTGTGGCAAGTCCAAGCAGAAATCCTAACTCTTCCCGAACTAGAATCTGGTAGAGCTGAGAACCATAGTCCCCCTGCAATAGCTCTAATTTGGTACCAAAAGTGGCGAGAAACATAGTTGCAGAAACTTCAAATCCACAGACTTAACTATAAAACTCTTCCGTTTACACTTTTGATGGATGATTTTTTTTTTTTATTTCCTACTCTTTGTTTCCAGTTCTTCGCACAGCATCAGTCCATGAGAGATGCAGGTCTGCAGGGAAAAAGTAATCAAGTATTTCACCTAAGTCTCCAGTGGAATTTTTAGGGAAGTAGAGACATGCATGCGAACTACTATTAGATTTTAAATGGAGAAAATGTAAAATTTGCTGGCCACCAAATCAGACCTGTTATGTCAAGCTTCATTAGCTACTAGTAGAAGGCAGGGAGGATCCCAGCCAACAAAGATGCAAAAACATCATGTCCACAGAACTCCAAGAAACACATCTTGAATTCCTTATTCCTTCCAAATGGAAAGCAACATTTTATGTCTTCACTCTTGGAATCAAATTGAACATTTTAGGTTATGCTGTCATGAATACAGATTATACTCTCTCATATTCATGTTATTCCTTGAAAGTACTTTCTGCATTCACATATACAGTACATCACTTAATCTCAACAGATTAATTAGTGATCTGACGAAGAACTATACTAGATCACAGAACTGGATGGGCAAAAGTGAGAAGATTTATGGGTCAAGAGAAAGACAGTTAATAGGTGTAGGAAAGAAACAAAAGGAAAAAAATGAATCAAAACAAACAAACCCAAAAAAACAACTGAAGCAAAGGAAATTGCTCACACCTACTATAGGCAAGACAGTGCCTCAGCCAGTCTCTGAAAAACAACCACCCTGGAAGCTACATCCCCTGTTTTTTTTCTTCATCTATCCCATTTTTTATTGCTGAGCATGATATTACAGGGTAGGGAATATCCCTTTGGTCATTTTGGGTCAGCTGTTGTGGCTGTGCTCCCTTGCCCAACCCCAACTTAGTCAAGGGGAGTGGAGGGCAGAGTAGGAAAAAAAAGAGAAAGCCTTGACACAGTGCAAGCACCCTTCAGCAAGAGCCAAAATACTGTTGTGTTAACAACACTGTTTTAGCCACAAATCCAAAACACAGCTCCATACCTGCCACTATGAAGAAAGTTAACTCCATCTCAGCCAGACCCAGTACAGCATTATAAGAATTAGTCATTTTAAGACTTAATAGAGTTAAAAAAGATTTCAGGTTAAGGGCTGGCCAAGATTCAGTCTTTAAGACCCTAAGTCTACAGCTTAAGTTCCTTCATCTGATATCTCAAGAACTGTATCTCTAGTATCTTCCAAAGTTACAAGCGTAAGTATGCACTTATTCCAGAATTTTTTCTACAGTGTAAACTCATGGCCTACTTTACCTCCTCAGCTGTGCAACCATATCCATCACTTCTCTACGAAGCTTATTTAGCTCAAATCCTACTCTACATCTCAAGGTGCAGGATCTATTCCTACTGCTCACACTTTTGAATGAATACTCTGGTTTTGTTGAGTCAAATCCATTTCGAAGCTATCAGGACTGTATCCATGATTAAAAAAAAAAAGTTATTTTAAAATATGAACAGATATGGTATGTGCAGTAGATAGCTTTATGCTGAACTACTGCCTTTATTAACATCTCTGAATACATTCAGCAGAGCTATAACAGCTTTAACCCACACAGCCACTACCCAGGCACATTAAGTAACCTCATGAACAAAATTAGTAGTCAGCATCCTGTAATCTCCTAACCGACTACATACTAACTTGCTGAGGTAGACAGGTTGTTGAACAACTACTAACCATTCAAAAGGAACAGCAAACTTTAAGAAGCCACGCCAACTTTACACAGAGACTGTTAGCCAAAACCACAAACATTTTTCAGAGCAAGGCACTGGAAGAAGCAAACAAAATAAAGTCCTGAGCAGACTTGGAAAGGCTTCAGCTGCAAGCACACCCTCCTCCGGACTCCATCTCCGGCCGGGAGCCGAGAAGCGAGCCAGAGGGGACAATACGCTCACACAGGGACGCCCCTGCCCCCTCCAGAAACGAGCTTCTGGGCTAGAGGCACGCAGCGACACCCAAGTTCGGGGCACAACCCCTCAAAACAAAGCTCGGAGGAAGCTGCGGCAGCCCGCGGCCACCGCCAGCCCGGCTCCTCCCAGCCGCGCTCCCTGACGGACGTGGGTCATCTCGAATTATTTGCACCGACGCAGGTGCCCGTCCCTGCCGGGCAAAGGCCAGAGACCTGCCCCCGGGCACGCAGGCGAGGCTGCGGCCCCGCAAGCTCCTTCGGCCTCAGCAGAGACCCGCGGACGGCGGCGGCGCCGGAGGAGCCCTCAGCACCTCCTTCGGCCTCGCCATCCCGAGACGCTCCCCCGATCGGCGCGGCCCAACCCGTACACCCTCTGCTGCCCGTTGTGCCAGACTCCAGTCGCTACGGACAGCTCC